TTAGGCAAGAACAAGCCTGAACAAAACATACCATATTGATTTCCTGTCCAAGCCAAGTTACTTTTGCATTAAAATATTAAAAATCAAGTATGCTGAAAAATCTCTGAAGGAATGGATACCTCATTTTCCTTCAAAAGAAGAAAATACTAGTATTATTACTTCAATAAATATAAGTAAGTTATACCCCAATTTAAATTATTTTATTATACCCTTCACTCAAAAATTAAACATGTGCTCATGATTTGAAGAAACATGAAAGGAAAAAATATACATTAAGAGTGCACAGTGTCCATGCTTTTCCAGTTCCCCTTATAGGAAAAACTTTAGAAAATTGCTTTTTGGTGATTTGGCAAATTATATTTGTTTAAAAATGAATCTCATTTATTGAGATTGACACTTCCAGGTTTTACCCTCATTGAAAGCGCATTTCCTACTTGCTTTCAATGATTATTTTTGGCATGTCAGTGAAACACTTAAAAAAATTAGTTAATTTAACTCTTTTAATGTAGTAATTACTTTTTATATACTAAATTATAAAATGGTAAGACTTAAGTTAAAAAAAATCTATCATAATTTTGACATTAAGGGCAGAACAAACACTTAAATACCATACTATTTCAGATAAAATTTCCATGTGAAAAATCTTCAAAAATTCTGTCACTGTTCAAATGTATTTCCTATGTTATCATTGAAGTCATCAATGCTTATTAAAAAAGATTCTTATTGGTGCTAGTGGTAGCAAAGCTAATACTTAGCATACATAAAGCCCTGGGTTCAGACCCAGCACCAAAAAACAAGCAAACGAATCTTGTTGTTTAGATAACAAGTGACCTGAAGGAAAAGTGAAGCAGCTGGGTTGGTGTAAAGCGCTGTAAGGACACCATCACCTAAGGACTACAAAAAGGACACATGCCTTCACAAGCCCCAGAACTTAAATGAGCACATTAACTTTAGCATAGTGTCAGTGTTTAAGAGGATTTTAAATAAAACTGCATCTTTGAAATTTAACAGACAGCGAGTGTCTCAATAGCAATATTTAGTTAATCAAAACATTGACACAGCAGCATAGAGAAAACTCCTACAATTTATGAGTATTCTTGGTTCTGGGAGTTGGCAAAGTTGATTGAACTACCAAATGAATTTATAAGAGTGTTGTTTATGATCATCTCTCTGTCAGGCCCTTAAAAATGGTAATTTTTTTTTTTTTTTAAATAGTGAGAACTAGGCCTCACTCTATTTTGGAATAGACGATTCTAAAGATAATGCCCAACTGATTCTATTTTCTTGAACACACACCTGGGCTGTTTCACTCACCAACACCTGCAAACACAGGAAAGAATGAAGCCTTCCCAGTTAAGCAGCATGTGGACAGTGTTCTTACCAGTGGGCAGGTCTGCTTAGATAGCTAAGAGGCTCTCACCCAAGGCTCCTAACACACCCAATCAAAAGGAAGCTTCTTTGGAAAAAAATGAATACAAAAAAATTCTCCATTGAGGTTGGCTTTTTAAAATGTTTTGCTTTTAAAGTTATTTTTAAAGAAAAACATGACATTTTAGCATTAGGCAGTTAAAAATTGTTATTTCCCTTCCTTATATCTCAACTCAAGATAAAGACATTTGAATGGCTGTAACTTCAGTACCTATATTCACTTCCTTAGTCTTTCCTCTTGGACTGTGAAGCAGCAGTTCTAAAGTTAGCTTTCAGTCTGCTGATATTTGGGGTACCATTCTGTGGCATATGACATCCCTTAGATGGTAAAATTCTGATTTGGTGCAAAATTCATGCTGTGAAAATTCAAAAAATACACTTCTAAGTTGATGTTCCCAGATAAGGTGTGAACATGGAATGGAAAATGAAATGGAATGCTGTTAACTGCCATCTGCCTGCCATTCAGTGGGCTCAGGGTCTTACTTTTGACCACTAATAAGTCCTGGCCATAAGCCTTCCCTGGGCCAGAAAGAAAGCAAGGAAATTTATTCCTCTTCTCTACTGCACAATTAGTAAGTATTTCACTTTTGAACTGTAAATTCTAAGCATTCTAAACATTATGAATAAACATTTAAAATTTAACCCTTTTATAAAAATTATATTTTCTTCCTTACTCTGAAATTTTTAGTTAAAATAAGAAGCAGTAAGGTTGCAATACATTTTAAGTCCATACCAAAGAAGTCCAAACACAAAATTAAACAAAAAAGGTGCATTAACCTTTTTGGTTCTTAGTACATAGAGCCTCCAAATTATAATTTCCTGATTACTTTTTAAATAAGCAAATTAAGAATGTGTAATGCATGTCCAATCATACTTCTAACAGGTAAAAATTCTACTGATTATAAAACTCTGTTGGTGCCATATTAGCCTAGGGTTTTTACTATGATAGAAGAAATGAAGGGATGGAAGAAGGGACTTTCTTGATAGGGAGTTATCTGAATGAAGAAAAAAAATACATGAAGTCAAGGCTGCTAAAAATCTGGAACTGGAAGTTGTAAAGAATAGGGTTATTATGATTAAAACATTTAAAAACTAACTTGAGGAAGCAGAAGTAATAACTATTTAAGGAAATTATGTGATTGTTAAATAATTTTTTCCTGATGCATGTCTGCAGATTAACAAAGATATTACAAGGTATGATTTTTTATTAGTCATTGAAATGTAAAAAGAAAAGCAATAAAGCCACATGTTATGCTGGGTATGTGCTTTAGACTCTTATCAGCAGTGTGGATCTTTTAGAATGATGGACTTGCCTTTTATTATTGTCTTAAAATCAAGTTTGTTAAAAAAGTTCTTCTATTTAGGAGACTTCATTTTACCTTTGATGAAATTAATGAAAATAATGAAAACTTCTCTTTTGTTATCTCATTCCACAATATTTTAAGGAAGTTTTGAAATTCACAAGTCTACTTATGTTAATCAATGTCACCATCCTTCTTACATGGTTATAAAAGAGAGGCTTCCTAGACAAGCTTGTTTTTGCAGCAGCTGAAAATGTACTTGTTCTGGATATGAGTTTCTAGTTTCATCAGCTGGGAACCCCACAACAGCAAGTGAAAAGCACTCAGATGTAAACAGTTCCAAAGTGAACTTTTTAAAATAAATTTAATCCTGAAGTACAGTTCATTGGGGTTAGAAATAGACATTTTTGGTTAGAAAAGAAACCAATACACCACAATGAACTGTAGACTGCTCCATAGCTTTAAGCAGGCTGGTTGAAATGAATACATAGTAGTATTTCAAACCTAGTTTCTTCTGTGGCCATTGCTGTGATTGATGCCATATTCACATGCGAGGGCTACTCTGAGTCAATAGATGGCAGTCCATCGCCTAGTAAAAGGGCTGAAGATGGCTAAAACCAGCATGCAGTTGCTTTCACTCAATATTTAATACTGCTTAATTAAGGCAGACATTCACATATTGTTCATATACTGATAAGGCAATTTAAATAATTAGAAAATGATATATTTTAGATGAACTGATAAATATTTACACATTTATAAACATACAGTTATTCTTGCATAGTAATTCACTGTTTATTAAAACTCGGCAGATGTGAACTACAATGATTACTTCAACATTTTCTGAAAGAAAATCAACCAAGTTTCCAGATATGGATAGTTTTCAAACTGAATGTTATTCTTACAGATAGGATATATTATATTCTAATAAAGGTGAATTTATTTCTTTTCCACATTGAAAGATCTGTACTCTTTTTATAATTTGTTTCTGAAAAGCTAAAAAATATTCAAAATATCTTTAAGTATTTCTGTTACATTTGAAATTACCTTTCATCCTTCATTAATAGTCACATAAAATTCTTTAGTGGAAAAGCTAAAAGAATAACAGTCAAATCTACAATGATATTACTTAATAAAGCTAATGAGTACTGCTGTACCATTATACAGAGACTCTGTGATCTTGAGAAGTATAAGAATAATTAATTCTGCTTTCACCAGGTTTAGGCTATAAGGGCTTCACCATTATTCCATTACCAAAGAACTGCTACACAAATATAATCCATTGACTGCATTTTTACATGTATGTATACAATATATAGAAATGTATATGACTTTTATTTTCTATAACACTATAGCTTTAAACAGACCTGCAGATGCTATCCCAGATACTGTGGCCCGAACAGACAATGGGAAATGAGTCTACCTGTTGGCTCACTTTTTACTTCTACAAGAGGAATGCAGTATGAAGATATGTTTTTTTCTAAACTGCCGTTTCTCTTTTCTGATCTTCCTTATTATACACAAAACCCTTTATATATTAAACTTCAACAACTATTAATAATGTTAAGTCATATAACTGTATAATTAAAAGAAACTGTCTATCAGCGCAACTTACTATATTGAGAAGGAGCAGTAAGGCAACAGTGAACTACTGACATTGTTTAAGATGGAGAGTCAAAGTGAGCTGACTTCATAATACTGAGCATCAGTCAACTGGATTGTATAGTGACATTTTTATGCTTTTACTAAGAGCAAAATCTTAATAAATCAGAATTTAATAATTTGACTAAGCATGTATGTCAAGAGAGTTTCAAGGACAGGAGAGTTGAACTGTCCTATGAGAGGTACACTGAGCTTTTTCTAATCATTTAAGAATTTATCTTAGTAAAAGCAGAAAAATGATAATGGATGGTGTTGTGGGCTCTATGCTTATGGACTGTGGTAACAATATTGTAAAGGCACTGAATTATTACACTGCTTCATAGCTTCTAGCATACCTTTCTCATTTAATTTAATGAATATAGTCTAAGCCTGAGAGTATCAACATATAATCATTCAATGATGTGAGTAATAGAAATCATTTGAAATCTTTTAAAAACAGGAAGATAAAGGACAGGCAGTGGGGAAGGTGTATTATTGCTTTCTCAGTACAAACTCTCCAGATGTTTATTATCTTGCTGCAGAAGATGCTTGTCTATATTTTATGGTCAGCAGTTCAGAGAAGGGTAAATAGGCTGAGTGTTGAGGAAAATAAAAGGTGTTTTTACTCACCGTTAGGTGATACTGCCTCCAGATTTCTGGGCAGGCCTGGAAAATAAAAATATTGATCAGCTGGGAGCATGAAACAAGGTACTTTACAGCCTGTTGGTTTTGGCATAACCCAGCATCCACCGGTGTCGGTCACAGGAAAATAAGAAGCTTAACAGAAAGGGTCTGCATTTCAGCTTCAAAAACCTGGCTAGACAGTTTAATTGAATTTTACACTGGTTTAGCACACTCCCTGCCATTGTCAGGAAGCCAGTAACAAAGTTTTCCTCCTCTTTTTCTTCTCAGGTTAGAAGTTTAGGTACTAAGGTGGGATAAAGAGTCATAACTTAGTTAAACTAGTAAATCAAGAGCAGTGATCAAAATCTGTACTATTAAGCAAACACATCTTTTAAAGGAGCATTCTGAACTTCTCTGGAAGCACAAACAGAAGACAATTTTAGAGCAAGTGCTTCTAAGAAGCCCTCACTGCGTTACATACTTCTCTGTAATAGCTGCTGCTATCTTTTATCGAACTATTTGGTGCTAACTTAATAGTTGATGAAAAAGAGAATTAAAAAAAAAACCCAACCCCCCCCACCAAACCCCTCAAGTTTAAGCCCTTTCCTCTAAATGTTAAAATTTTACATGTTTTCATATTTAGAGAGAAATAATCTAAAAGCAAAACAACAAAACCTCAAAAATTCTGTCAAAGATGAACTTACTGAAATCACAATAAATAACAACAAAATACTTGGCAACAGTCACGTCAATCTCTTCATGGCAAATTATGACCTTGTTTAGGAAACACTGTCTCTAACAGCAACTATTTAGCTCATCAGTTGACCATCTTTGCAGAAACAGAACGTTGATGACAGCAACTATGAACAGCAAAAACTCTACTGAAAATACCACATAAGTGGTTAGACAAAGATAGTATAACTCAGAAATCACATCTTATATACTCTAATTAGCACATGCAATTTTCTATAGAAAAGTGTGTAAATGAGAATGCCTAGTGGTCAGCTTCCCAGTTTTAATGTTAATAAAATATAAAGTGTCTGGAAAAAAAACCCCACAGCTTATGTCAATAATTTCGGGATGAATAAAACTAACTGAAAGGAAACTAAATTCAGAAAATTAAAAGTAGCTTCAGGAGGCAAAGACAATGTTAGTACCTGATAAATAATAGCTACAAAAGTTCTTAAGGATGATAAGTACAAACATACTTACAAAGACCTAACGTATGATATATCTTTAAATACTCATTCCTACCTTCAAGCATAACCTTTTTGCTGTGTACATATAATTTGAGTTGGATTACTATAGAGATAAGCAAGCAGTTATTTATACATTAGTTATGGATAGTTCTTGATTACCACAGTATCCTCAGAATAATACGGTTGAAAAATCACAATCACTGAGTTGTCATAGACTGGCAGAATGCCACTTTACCATGTGACCTTTGCTAGTATAGTAGCAATTTAGTAATAAAAGAAAGAATTACTTGGTTTTTGAACAATCATTTGGTCGCTCTGTACACAAAGATGATGACTAATACAGAAATTTAGTAGTGAAATACTTGAAACTTCCTTTCTTATATTAGACAGTAGCATTGCAATTTAAAAAATTCTTTCTGGCTATTTAGCATTCCTATGTACAGCTCCATTTTACTATTTTATACATAATACTATGTAAGGTTAGAAAAGAGACTTCAAAGGAAGGGTCAACAGAAAGCACACACATTTATTTAAGTATGAACTATAACTGCAATCATTAATTGAAATTTAAAATCCTATTTTTTTTTTGACATGCTAAAGCTTTGGCAGTCGCTTCTTCTTCCTCTCCCTTCTTCTTTTTAACATTCCTTAGCATCCTCACACACACACATATTTTAAAATTTCTCACAAAAGAGGAGGGCAAGCATTCAGGTTTATATATCTAGTACATGGAAAATTTAGGTGGAATAAATTAGCTTCTAAAGGAAGAAGCTAACTATCGCAATCGAAAACTTGGTCTAATTTATTTTAAAATAAATTTTAAACTGAATGAGTAGTCAGCTGTGCAGCTCATTTAAAGTGAAAGTATAATAAAGCATCAAAGTACAGTTGTATTACTGCCTCGGTCCTCTCCCCTCACTGGTACTTAGGTAGATGGACCCACAGGGCGTCCTTAAGTCACACAACCGAACACACAAAGTGCACTTGTACATCTGTTTCTGCAATGTGGTACACTGTTTGCCAACTTTTGCCCAACTTGTTTTCCTGTCTATTGTATTTTGGATAATAAACATACATGAATAACTGATTGTTATTATTCATAAAATTCAAAGATGAATTAACACAGTTTGCCATGCCAGATGAATTGAGAGTTTATATTGTGCATTTCCACCCATATTGAATTTTATCAGGTGCTAATTATTGTTTTATGAGAACAACGGCTTAGGGCATCTGTTGTTTAATTCCCACTTCCCTATTCTCAAATGCGTACATCAAAGAAAATAAAACACTCAATCTTAAACAGCCCCTGACAGCAGACCAAGACTCAAGTGCTCAACAGACAAGGCCCTTGCCACCAGTTCTCATATTTCCACAACAATGAACAAACACAAAAACAGCACTAAGCGGCCTTTCCTCCTCCTCAGCTCCCCTTGGCCAGTTGTCTGCCTTGTACTAGAGAGAGCCCTTGAACGCAGCCCTGCTGGGAACACAGCACAGGAGAAAGGATTAGCCTTACTAACATGCTAGCATTTGCAAAAGGGAAGAAAAAAAAAAAAAAACCTCAGTACTGTATTTGGTATATGAATAACCAAAATGTATGAGCTGACAAGAGACCAGGACAGGCCTGTGGCTCCCCGGGAGAAAATGTAGCTGTGATGAGTGACAGGGCTTTCAGGAAATATGTTCACAATCACAGACAGTGAAGGCCATGACCTAGATCGTTTAAGAGCTTGTCTTGTCAAATTATCAAAAGCTTCTTCCTCTCTGAATAAAGAGTGACATAAGTGAGTGTCAGAAAGCTGCAGGCTGACAAGCCAAGCATACAATAACAGAATGCACGTCACATACATGCTGAACACCGCCACTGCTAGCGGCAAATCTTAATGAGAGCGCGGCCAGCCCAGGAGACTTGGGTCCCTGCTGGCACAGCTACTCATCTCACAAAAATCCTTCAGCTCCAAGTCAGTTAGGCTCTGACACGACAACTACAATTACGAAACACAACTTTTTAACAGAACCCTCTGGTGCTTTGTCAAAGCCTCTGTTGTTAAGAGCTGGCCCCTTAAGTCACTGCAGCAAAACAAAAGATTTAATAAAACAAGCAATATTCAGGGATGGTGAATAACTTAAATAGGAAAAACTAAAGAGAATAATTTTGTTTAAAATTTGTTGAATGAGACACAATTGCAAGAAAAATGTTAGTTTCTTGATTCAACTACCAGTGTAACTCTCCTATATGCACATTTATATCATGTTAGGCACCTCCACTTCAAGTGAATGACCCTGTGCTGGAGTCTGGTCAACAGACTCTTCATATAATGACTCTTAAGTCACCCAACTGTCCAAATACTCGGCTAATCACTGTGTATGTGTGTGATTCCTCTGACACACAATGTGTTTATGCTTCCTATTGCATATACACTGAGTACATGTGAGCAAGGATTTATCTTAGAGTGAAAAATTTAAGAGATTATCCTAACATTTACCTTAAATTAAAATTCTACATAAAAACAGCTCTAAGGTCTAAAATAACAGAAACCTATAATTAAAATTCAAGACGTTACTGTTTTAAGGTTGCTTACGATATTTCTACTCTGCATAAAAACTGGCTGTTCTTGGTAAAGAGAAGCTATAAAACACATTAACACAAATACATCTATACACATATACATCACCTATGTGTGACAATATATATAGAATCTATATTTGTTTTTTTCAGCAATTAGTATGAAAAGCCATTCATTGATCAATATCTCAAAGCTGCTTCCAAAATGAGCCAGACTCCATAGTTTTATTCAAGGTCAAAATTTAATCAGTCCCTATACTCATGATCCTCTGCAATAAGGAGTACAGACTGCTATTTTTTTTTTGCACAAAATGTTCACTTTCTTGTAGTCTCTTAAGTGCAATTGTAAGGGCATAAAGTTTGTCAAATTATTGTCCTTATTTTACAGAAAAATAATTAAAATCAAACACACACAAAACCTCAACACACACATACTCAGTTCTCTTAAGTGACATTTTCTTTTGAGGAAGATTTTTGTATAAGGACTCTAAAATGTTTCTGGAGTTACTCTATGATTCCAGATGACTGATGCAAGTTCATTTTACAAATAGTTGCTAATCTTCTAACACATGCTGTTTTTATCTAAGGATACTGCAAGTAAAACAATAGAAGAAAATGATGATAATGAATCATGAGAACACAACTGTTAAAATCAGCATGCCAGAACCAAATAAATGGCTGGGTTCAAATCCTGGCCCTGTACTTACTGTCTTAGACAAATCATAGACCCTGTGTCTCAGCTTCCTTATTTGTAAAACATGGCTCCTATGATGGTGAAACTTGGTAAGATTAATTCCTCAGAACAATGCCTGCTAGTACTCAACTATCATTAGTCAGAACTTCAGTCACGAGAGACTGACACTCTCTATACTTTCATTGGAGCTCTATGGTCATGGACAAATGGACATCAATAAGGCAGCCGAGATTCCACTGGATAGTGATCAGCTCATCTTTGTGGTTAAGCTTAGTAGGAAAGTAAAGACTCACAAAAAACAAATCAAAAAGGAAAGGATAAACTAGATTTTATTTAGTTGTAGCCACTGTGGTTCCTTTCTTCATAGCGGAAAAAAAAAATCAAATTGATGAGCACCTAAGACATTCAGATGAGGTCTACTTAATGTTTTCAGTTGTTCAAAAATACACAGAAAAGGATATTGGATCAGGTAATATCTGACTTTGAATCTTACAGCTAACTTCTGACAACAAAAAAATTAAAGTATTTTGATCACTGATGAAAACCCAAAGCATTCCACCCTATTCTCAAAGTGACATGTCCT